TGAAGATATCGCTGGCACCTATGCTATGCGTTGGTTCGTACGCTAACAGGAGTGGCAAGACGGTAATTCTGCCCTGAACAAGGGGGTTCCTTATCATAAAGCATCAGAAAAACATTCGCGTAAAGCATATTGGCGTATCATGGCATACTATGGTATAATTACTTTGACTTTCCTATATTCTGATGGTGCTAAAGGAGACTGAAGATGAATCAAACCTTAACAATCGAACAAATTATTAGCGCTATTAAACAAATGCCGCAGAAAGATAGGCGTATAATACTATCTGCGCTTGCAAATTCAGAAGATGCTGATATAGAAGTTTCAGCGCGTGAGGCGACTCATCTTTCTGAATCTGTCTTTATGCAAGTTTGGGATAATCCAGAGGATGCTGTCTACGATGAGCTATAAACGAGGTGACGTGGTTCTTGTTCGATTTCCTTTCACGGATTTAACAACAACAAAAAAGCGTCCTGCCCTCGTCATAAGTACCGATTTCTACAATCAATCCCAAATTAATCTAATTATTGCGGCAATTACTAGGGCGTGTTGACATTTATGCGAGGCATGTCCGTAATCGTAGGGGCGAGGTCCCCTCGCCCATTGACCAACGCGGGTTGAAAACCGCAAACCATACGGATTGAGTTGATTGACAGCAGTTCAAAATCGTCTATGATGTATGACCAAAGGGTTGGGAAACCCAACCCCTACAAAGGACCATGTGTTTGTGCACGCCTCTCGACTATCTGATTGCGATGAAATGTCAACAGAACCTAGTTAAAGCACTAGGATTAACAACTATCAATACACTTCCGTAAGAAATTCCAAAACACACTAAAAAGTATTGACAAATTACCCATCAATCTGTATACTAGAGGAAGTTATTGCCTAATTTATCTTTCGTGTTAAGAGTTTTGAATTTCAGCTCATACTACAATGTCATCCCCCACGCAGTGAAAGTCCTCACAACGGCGAGATTCTTTGTCTCAATGAGAATGACAGCTTGAGTTTTGACTGCCCTCCAGCATCTTAACAGACGACTTGATATTGTAGTCCAAACGTTCAGGAGAATGACCTATGAAAACACTCAGAAATATCTCAACAGTTATCGCATTTGCATTTATATTAGCAGGGATCTCCGGATGCAGCGGCTGCAATCCGCCCCCTGAACCGGCAAGTTTCAGCCCAATGGAAGGGTCCCGAGACCGGTGGGACAACCATCCGAATTACGGGCGACAAGTTTGATATGAAGAATGGCGTTACGGTGAAAGTGGGTGGGAAGAATGCCACAAGCGTAAATGTCCCCAGTAAAATGGAGATTACGGCAGTAACACCGTCGGGGATGGCAGGCGAATCGGTTTCAGTTGTTGTCACCAACAACGGCAACACGAAACCGGAGGGCACTGTCACAATGAGCCAGCAGTTCGCCTACACCGACGCAACCGCCCCAACAATCACGGGCACCAGTCCTGCAGATGGAATGGTCATATCGGAGTATGAAGATTCGTTGAGTGTGAGTGTTCCTGTCTCAATCACCTTCAGCGAGGATGTCGATAGCGCATCTGGCTCTTTAACCGTTTCCGTTGAGTCAACACCAGATTCGGGTACACAACAATCTGGCGAGATCGCTGGCACTGTTTCTGGCAGCGGAAACACAATTATGTTTACTCCCAACGAACCGTATCGGTCAGGGCGTATGTACACTGTCAACATATCAGGTGTCAAAGACACCGCCGCTGCGGGTAATACCCTTGCGTCGGGCAGCACCTTTAGCTTTACAATCGCTAACCCAGAGAAAGTCGACCGATACCTCGTAAAGGAAGGCGATACGCTTCCAATCATTGCTTCGCGTCCAGAGGTATATGACAACGAGGAACTTTGGTCCCGACTCGCTGAAGCAAATCAGGATGACTACGATTTCGATCGTGCGCGACTCTATCCAGGACGGCAATGGTTGTGGGTGCCGCGTGGATCCGCATGGGGAGATTAATAGGAGAACGGTACAAGCAGCAAATCCAACGAAATAGGGAGCTATCATGAAATCTCGTTTCCATATTGTGTTGGTTGTTTCACTCACAACCATGTTTTTGGTGGGGTGCAGCATCCGCACAGTTCCTCTTGAGGAAGAACAGATAGTCTATGAAGATGAGTATTACCGAGGATATGATAGCCTCCCGCCAAGTTTCTTCTATGATGCTTGGCAGCTGTCTCAGTATCGTCAATATTACGGCGATGCGTCTGAATTGGGCTATCGAATGAATGTCGATCCAAATCCGCATGATAGCTACCGTGCAGATGAGAAGCCCCTTCAACGTGCTCCCGCTCGAACGTCAATCCAAGGGACAACCCCCAATCGCCGCGTTGATGAACATCGGGATCGAACCCCAATTCAACGGACAATCAACCGAAGCCGGTACACCCGCTCGAATCGTATAGCGGCTGAATCCGCAGATAGCAGGAACCGCCTACGGAGGCAATTGGAACAACGTCACCGCCAACGGACGACAAACACAGAGGACGATGCAGATCGTGAACTCAACGTCGAACCACTCGTCGCCGTGCTAGACGGTAGTTTTCCCAAATTTTGAAAGACATCTGTGCAAAAAAAAGCCATGTAGATTGCTCTACATGGCTTTTTTTATTTTAGTTTCTTTTGAAACTTCTATCGAATCCGGTCTATGCTCCGTAGGGGCAAATGATCGTTTGTCCCTATGGAACCTGCTATGGGACCCGCCGCTTGAGTAGAGCATTCATCGCCCATCCCTTTCATGAGTTTAAAGGACAGATGCAGGCTTGAATCCGCTCTACTTCAAATGTTCGATATGTTTATGTCTGATTGAGTTCTTCAACAACCCTCCTGATCCCTCTTGCAATATCTGTGAAAGCCTCATCTCGATCTTCCCAACGCGTCACAGGTCTCACACCGGTAGGTAATGCCTGAAGCTGGCCGAAAGGTGCCTCTTCCCAGACAACGGGACGTAGTATTATGGGAATTACACGGGCTTCTCCAGCTTCGTGTCGTTCCATCGCTCGTTGCATCTCAACATCATAACAATAATCGGACGCGATGAAATCAGAACTGATAAGTAACAGAATTATGCGGGCAGTATTTAGATGTTCATCAATCTCTCCTTCCCATTCTCTGCCAGCACCTATTTTCCGATCATGCCAATCTGTAATGACACCCTGTCGTCTCAGAATGGCGAGGTGGTTCTCAAGTTGTTGCCGTAACTCTTCATCTTCGTGGGAGTAGGAATAGAACACTTCAATACTATTGGGTTGTGATATTGGACGCATTAAATACTCCCTCTCTGCAACCATTTGAAGTACCGAATTTTCTGGCAATGAGTCATACGGATTGTCATGTATCTCCCGCATCCTGCGGAGGGCATGGCCGACTTGCTCACCATGACGCTGGGAAAGTTTCCAAACCGCTTCGATCTTCTCTAGTTCGTCCGTTCCGGGTACATAATCAATGAAATCAGCTAACTCACTGAACATTTGGCAATAAAAGTCCTCAATGTTTAGCGAGGCAAATTCTTTCGCCTGACGAACATAATCAATCAGTGTGGTTTTGACCTCACTATCTTCGATTTCTCTCTGAATAAAATCCAATGCGTAAATGCCGCCTTCGTCCACATCATCTAATTTTGAAGCATAGGCAGCAAATCGTCTATCAATACACTGTGAGCAACCGCCACAGTGAGTCGCTTGACTACCCAACTTAAACGTATGGCTGCAAGACACTGTGCTTGTGATTAAGTTCCTTAGTCCAATTTGATCCAGGATATGAAAAATATCTGTTTTAGTTTTCTCTAAAAAAGGGGTAACAATTTGATTTTCGATTGATTGATTTCCGAGAAGAGATTTTCGAGAAGAGTCATCGTTTTTGGATGGGTTGTGCGGCTGGCTCTTGCATTTATCTGATTTTGTTGTTTTGGAAAGTTGATTGAAGTAATCCCGTTTTCGTAAACAAAAATCTCTCCTTGCGAAAGCGCATGTGCTAAAGCATAAGCGATAGATGTATATAAAAAAGCACGGGTTCGCTGAGTTTCCTCTCTGGCTCGAATTCCATGCAATCTACAACCAAATTTGTAGTACTTGATTCGATTTGGATAGCGTTCATGAAGTGCTTCAATCAGTTGATCTTGTGTTTTTGCTGTCCCTTGACCAGAGCGATGACTAATGAGGCAAAGCTGATCAGACGAGTTTTCAAGACATTCAACAATTCCAGCCAACGAATCCAATCCACCTGAAAAAAGAATCACCTTCGTATTTTGTTGTGGTTCAATTTGAAACGTTTCCGTATCAAACGGGCCTACTGGAGGCGTTGAATGTCCAGGTTGGAAGGTAAAATGATACGCTCGATCGCCAGACATGAAAACGAGTGCTTCTTTGAGTTTTCTTTGACATCAGGCATATTCCAGAAGTCGAAATCTCGGACTTTAATGGCAAAGTGAAATAACCTCGACCAGCTATGGTACTCTACGTTGTCTTTACTTCCACGAGAAGTCAGTCGATCCGCACAAAAGACATAGGCGGCGATCTCCAACAATCTAGTATACGATCAGGAAGGTGCAATACATCAAGGACAAAATTAGGCAGAGCAAGTTTGATATTTGGGATGCCGGCAGACTCTCGATATTCAAGGGTAATAAGCTTAGACTGATCCAATTGTGGAGGCGAATCTGCACCGTTGCATAGTACAATTTGTGGAGAGACGTTTCTCATTTCTTATCGTCCTCCCGTTGTAACTCATCCCGTATCTTCCCAAGAGCAATTGATAAAAATCCCTGAATCTCTTTTTCGCTAGGAACTCCTTCTTTTGCGTGCTTGTTAAACCAGCCTGCTGCGAAAGACTGGGTAATCTTGCCGTTTCAAAGGCGTGCAAAGAAATAGTATCAACGTATTTTTCAAGTTGTTGGCTAAAATCTCCCAAAGCTGCCGAAGCTTCTCTGTCGAGGAAATATTTTAAATATCGTTGTGTGAATTTTGCGAAAAATAGGCGAGATAACTCACAAAATCCGGCACCATCTCCGGCTTTACGCCACACTTCAAACGGATCTTCCAACGACGTAAAAAGATTTCTGGTTGTTGGTTGATTCTCACGATACCAATTGGAAATCGCATCGCCAGCAGCCCTTTGTGCAATCTCACTGTATTCAAAAGAGTCCTTTTGCGGCTCGATCCATGCATTGACCGCTTTCGCAAAGGAAAGCGGTGTCGGATTATCAGGAAGTTCAACCCCAATATTTAATAGCCACGCTTGAGGATTTTCTTCACGCGAGGCAACAGCGAGATTGACTAGGAATTGAAACGCCCCCAAAACGCCATTATCCCGCATGATATGACGAAATTGAGATCTTACATTTTGAATTGTTTGTTGAGCAATATCCGCAATTTCAGCCTCAGATGTGTGTTTCTCCGCAATCTGTTGGACAATATCTTGCCATTGTTGTGTCTTGGGAAGAACGCCTGTTCGTATATGCCCCATTGTTTGATCTCCGTATCACGGATTTTTACCGTTTACTTTATCGTACAATATTTTCCTTTGTCGTTGAACGTAGTAGTCAAACCTACGGAATGTCATA